AGGGAAAGAAAAAGGAAAAAGATCACACCATAAATTTAGCACCCCCTTGCACTCTGTATTTTGTGCAGTAGGATTGAGATTTGACAGGAGCATCATAATACATCTTAACCAAAGCAGGGAAATCCTAAATATTACAGCACTGGTCATTTACAAAACCCTTTCAGCCATATCATGCCACTTCTTTCGAGTCTGGAAATTACATAGGAAGACCTTGTTCATAGTGAGGTGGAATGCACTTGTGGTCAGCTGGTAGAGACTGAAATGTAAAGACACAAATGGGCAAAACAGTAATTGTCTTGTTTTTTATCCTTAGGTCTTGTATCTAACAACATTGGTGAAGTAGGTGGAGGTTGGGGCTTTGGGGTGGGGATGAGTGTGGTGTGGAAGAAAATATACCAATTTCACAAAGTATTTCCATTTTAGTGATGTGAAAACCCCTGTACCCATAACACCGTGTTAGTGCTACTTGAATCAGATAGCTGGTCTAATGCTAAAGCAACTTTTATGATCTTCTAGTCAAGTTTGAATCAAACCAGTTATGAACTGAAAAAAGAATGTGATACAGTTCTGTGTAATTTTTCAAAACTGCTCTTTCAATCTCGCTTTTAGCTAATAGGCCTGAAGAGCAATCAGTCCCCTTTGATCAAGTTCAGGATGTGACTTTTTTTTCAATTAGTCTTCTTTCATCATGTAATAAACATTTGAGAAAGCATTCTTTTTATATATATATACACATATATATATATAGCCTTTGTGCTTTACTGTGTGTTCCTGGTGAGTATTTGTGTGAAAAACACTGTTATCAATATGCTGCATTAATTTTTTCATCCCCTTTATTGCCCTTTCTAACAGAAGTGAGATATGGATTCTATTCCTTCTGTTTCCAGAGCTGTTTCCAAAATTCATAGCCACATAAGATCGTGTGAAATGCAAGAGAAAAGAATGTCTGAAGTGTATTCTGCCACATGGAGGCAGCATGCCCTAGTGTATAATGGGCAAGGTTGCATGACTATTGGGGATATAAATAGTGGGTTGCGTCAAATCCGTCATTGCTGATAACTACACTTTCATTCCATTCTTCATACATTGATGTGCAGTCTTGGACTTTTGCATGTCAAGAAGATAGTTTCTTTCCCACAGAGAAAAAGCAGCTGATATCAAAAAGGAATAGACTAAAAAAAAAAAAAAAAAAAAAAGTTTATGCTTGGAATCCTGAAAAGCAAATCTGTCCTTCCAGCTATGGATGAAGAACAAGGTCCTTTGGGGCAGCAGACGGAGCCACAGAACCATGCTAAAGGTTTTTGCTGAGGATAAAGCAGCTGCTGTGTTTGACAGTGAAGATAGATTGATGGTTGTAAAAATCCTGTCTGTGCCTATTGTATTTATGAAAACGTTCTATGTATTAGCAAAAATATGAGTAGGAATGACTTCAGCTTTGAAAGTCTGTATTAACATGGACTACTTGACCCCTAAAGGATGCCTTATAATCTCTACAGGAAATTCTTCTAAAGTATAAATGTCTGGATATTAAAATTAACCTCCAATGGTTTTCTTGGTGCCATAGCAGTGTCCAGAGGCTCGCTATGCTAGGCTCTGTGTAAAGCTTAGTTGCAACAGGACATGAATATGAAAGAGGTTTCTGGTGATAGATTTTGCGTGTCAGAGGAGCAGAACTATTTCTCTGTCTGCATGGGAGGGACCTGTATTTGATGAGACAAGGATGCATGTCAGAAAGAGAATATCTCTTTTACCAGGGTGGGAAAGAGAATTTTTCATTACCTAGCCTCTTCTGTCTTCCCCAGATCCTTTTCACACAATACCATGAGATCCTGTAATTTTATTAGTCTCCCAATATCCTGAGAAGTACAGTTTTATGCTCCTCTATCACTTGGATTATTTCAGTACTGGCTTAAGCCCATTAAGTTTCTCGTCAGCTTTCTTTTGTCCTGTCCACAAATGCTTCCCCTTCACACCAAACCCACTGGTCAAGAGGAAGCTAGGTTTTATTATTTATGAAATACATTGTGAAACTTTCCCCCCACCCCGTGTTTGGTGCCTGTTGGTAAAGGCACGTTATCTTTTGGCAGGGTGCTTTGGAAGAAAAAAAAAAAAGAAAAGCAAATGTAGAGGTCCTACGTCAAGTTGCTATGGTAAATAAAAGACGGCTAACATCTAAAAAAATCCATATATACACACACACACACACGGAGGGTTACAGCACTGCATATAGAGTTTTTAGAAGATCAGAGGTTTGTTTAGACATGTGTAAATGGTGATTAAGCTTTTAAGTGGAGAAGAAGAGGGTTTTTTGCCTTAGCTGCAGAGTGAATACATCTGCTCTATGTTAGTTCTACTGATAGTAGCATTCATGATGCATTGAATCAACCTGAGTCATTTTAACATGTAATTGCCTATTTGATAAGAATTGCATATGGTGGTAATCAACCATTATAGAGACCTCTCTGACTTCACAAAATCTCTTAATCCTAACATGATCCTCTGGTATTCTGCACTCTTACACTGCTGAGCATGCCTCCCGCGCAAACTGGCCTGCATAATTCCATCCAGGCAAGTTAGCATCTTACCTTTCTGATAATGATTGATTCTAGCTGATATAAAAAGGAATGATCACACAATAAATACTTGCATGTTGGTGGTCACAGAAAAGAAATGTCTCTTTCCAGTCTCTCAGTATCTCCAAAATCATAGAATTGTAGAATAGCCCAGGTTGGAAGGGACCTCAAAATATTGACTGGTCCAACCTTTTTTGGGAAAGCCAGGCTAGATGAGATTATCTAGCACCTGTCCAGTCGTATCTTTAAAACTTCCAGTGGCAGAGACTCTACCATGTCCCTGGGGAGGTTGTTCCAGTGGATGATTGTTCTTGCTGTAAAAATTATCTTAAACAATATTCTGCTTCAGGAGGGAAAAATAGAACCACTGGAAGGGCTTTGACTAGGCCAGGCAATAGAAAGTTCTCTGAAAGCTAATCTTCCCTGAACCCTCCTTTTAGAAATGATCTTGACTTTCCCTGCAACCATTGCTATGGTACCTCATCATCTCTCAGTGTTGCTGTGACAGGAAACATTTCAAAACAAAGTATTTTGTTTGGTTTTGTTTCAAACAAATTACTTTGTTTGGAGACATTTGAAATTGATGCCTTTTCAGACAGAGCTTACCTTGGACAAGCAGTGGCTGCCAGCTGCTCTCCCAACTAAGCCTTTTTCAGATGAATACCAAAGTTATACTGACGCTGTTTCAAACTGCATGAGGAATAAAACTACATAAGGGATGTGCAATCTAAATTTCCTTTGCCAATTTGTTACTAGCCTTTTTGTCTACAGGATGTGAAAGTTACCGTTTTTGGCCATGTGTTGGAGATCTTGCATAACAACTGTTCTGTAACAAACTGGAATTACTTTGAGCCAAAGGAGTGATGTTGTGTAGTGTTCTGTGTATCATCATTGTTTATTGCTAAGACTATTATTTAATTGAATGCTCTGAAGTAAAGGAGCATCAAGGTACAGAACCCTTTCTCTATCAGTATTACTCTTTTCTGTTCCTTAATGAATGCATCAAACTTTTTTTTCTTCTTCAAATCACATAAGCTTGCTTCAAAAGCAGTAAGCTTAATCATTATTTCATGGACCTTTGTATGTTCCGAAATATACAGAAACATAGGGAAGCATTGTAAAATATTTATTCTGTAGCTTGTTACTGGGTAATAGCAGAAAGCAGAGGAGATTGAATCTTTCTTGGCTGTGGTCTGTGGTGAGTTCTCTCAGGAAAACCTACTGTAACAAGTGCTATTACGCTCTCTAAAAATTTTCTTTTTAGATGTGTCAGTAGGAAAAGGGAATATTTTTGCAGAAACCTACCAGTCAGTCTCCTATCAGTCTAACCAGCTACATTTCTGTACCTTTTTATTGTTCCACAAATTGTTTCAAGTGAACGGCCAGGTAACGGTTTAATTTATTTCTAGAACTGAATTTTCTGTCAGTTTGTCAGAGTGATTAGCTAGTGTTCTGCATACATAAAGAGCCTGAATTTCTCATCTTGAAAACTAGGAATGGAAAAAATATCATACATCCAAATGACAATCATATAAAAATTATAGGTACTGTGTGAAAATGGGTAGGGTAAATAGCTTTGTTAGTATTGCTATGTGAATTCTTGTTCAGTAATGAGATTTCCTTGGTGCTATTTAAAGTAATAATAATGTCACTCCTTCTAATTACTTTTGGCCTTACATTTATTATTGATGTAGACATACCTGTTGGAAAATCTTTAACCCGTTTTACTTTTGGCATGCCTTTTCACGGTGGTTGTGTCTTGGCCTTGTCTGGTGTAAAAGGGAGAAAGAAACATATTGGAGGAGGATACTGCTGATCTGCAGCACGGTGCACAGCAAAGTTCTGCTCGAAGAGACGGCCTGTGCAGCCAAGTGACTTTCATCTATGAGATGAGTTACCGAGGTTTGTTTTCACATAACGGCTTTTGCCCTGTAGCAAACCCAAAACCTCATGTTGGCAACAGGAGAAGGGAAAAAAGTACTTCCATCGTGTTTGTCATCAACTTGTCTTTGAGTGGTTTTCTTCAGTACTGAGATGCTACTATGATATTTGCACTGTATATGGCAAGAAGCCGATAAGTTTTCTTGATTAAAAATGTTGGAACACTGTAAAAAGCCACAGTTACTTCACCATACAGTGTAACCATGGGTTGGAAAATATGTTTCTGGCCCTGAAATGCTCTGAGAAAGCTGTTCTGGATTTACTTTCCCTCCTGGGTGCTGAAATGCTGTTGTGCATGTGTACTGCTGCCAGCTACAAAGCGCACAGTTCGGTTCAGGCTGGGATCCGGCACAGAGAGCCCCTGCAGTACAGCAAACGATGGCTGACACCTTGTATTGCTTTCTAGAGAGTCCAAGCTCACTGTTGCTGAACTTAAATTCCC